AAAGTTTTGCATGGGAACCACAGATCTTTCTCTCTTGCGCTTTTCTCACTGAAACCCTACCTTTCCTTCTTTTTCTTTTCCACCTTCTTCTTCTCGAGGCTCAGACGCCTCGTTCGATCTCCCATGACCTCGTCGCACATCCGTCCTCTGGCGACAAGGCAGGCATGGGAGGCGGACGGGAGAGGCTCCGCCTCACGCCTCCCTCGAGGCGTCTCGATGGCGGAGCGAGCGGATCTGGTGAGATGATGAGCACCTCCATTGGATGAGAAAATGCAAATGGTGTCAGCGTGAGGGAGGATCTGCGGACACGCATAATAGCAGCGTAACTGCATGCGCGTTGGGCTAGTTGGTTTTGGAAGTGCTAAAAGATCGGAAAGGTGGGTTTAGGAACTATTGAGAGCTGTTTTTTTAATTTTGCTAAAAGTCATGTATTAGGAGAGTGTTTTGGAACTCTTGAGATGCTCTAATGACCTATTTGGATGAGCTAGAGCTAGTTGCTAGTTAGGCTAAAAATTAGCTAAGGTTGATTGGCTAGTTGGCTAACAACTAATTAAAGACTTGGCTAAAAATTTAGCTCACATATTAGCCCCATGTTTGAATGCAGTAGAGCTAATTTTAGCCAGCTAGCAATTAGCTCTTGTATCACACATACCCTAATTTTAATTATTTTTTAGCTCCAACTAGTACTACATGTATATCCAGAGACATGCCCTAAGGCTAGTCTTAATGGGAGTTTTATGTAAGTTTTATTTACAATAAATATGTTGCTACATAGGTATTTTTTATGACATGACAATGTATTTAAGAAAAGAGAGAAGAAATGAGTTTCATATAGATAAAACTCTCTTGGCACGATTACCAACCATCAAGTCATGGAATTAAATGTCTGTGAAACTATACAATAAAACTTTACATTGAGAGTGTGTGTTTCATTGAGTTTCATCGTCATTAAATTTTCCAATGGCCTAAGAGTGTCAACTTGGTTAATTTGGGTACAAATTAAAAAGAATTTAAACACTGACCACCAATAATACGCATTCCAGAAGGTGACGATCGACGATGGAGAAGATCGCTGAGGCCCGGTTGGCAAGTTCGACACCACAAGCAGACCATTGGCTCACCCCACTAACCCCAACATCCCTCCGCCCTCGGATCTCAATCCAACGGAGTGCACGCCCTCTCCTCACTAGCTGAAGAGCGGCGGCAGCAAGGCTCCTGCTGCAAACCCGAAACGCAGCGCCGCCGCTGTTGCAAAAGGCGCCTCTTTTTTTTTTTCTTGTTTCTCCTCCACCCCGGCGACGCGAATGGAGAAGGGCAGTGGAGGCAGCGCTCCGCCGCCGCCGCTCCACATGGAAGACTTCCAGCTGGAGGGGAAGAAGCCCGTCAAGAACCCCTTTGTGCCCATCGGTATGTACGTACGCGCCTCCGGCCTCTCTCTCTTTCGTTGAAGCCAGCGGCCCTAGCTAGTCCCTTTTCGCACTGAGGACGGGGAGAGTACCTGCCCCGGATCCAGGGCCGTGGGATGTAATTCGTGCGGGGTTCAGGTTTTGGATTGGTAGGGTGGGGTGGGGGATCTGGCTCTGTTGTTTCCTATGAGGAGGACCGTGTTTTTTCTGTTTTTGATTGTTTATGGCGGCACTAGATTGATGGAGCCGCTACTGAAGGGGTTAAGTTGTGACAACTGGCATGAAATTGGATATTTGTTGTTTGATTTGCTACTGCTACATACATAATCCATATAGGCTGTGCTGTAATTTGTCTATTCGTTTTGCTTCTTTTGCGTAGCGTGCATTCTTATTTGCATTGATCAGTAACTGCACTATGTGGGCTGAGCAGGAGAAAACGAAATTTGAGGTGGTACCATGTAGCAATTTGCCTTGCATGAATTTTTATGCCCCTGTTTTGTATGCCTTATCAATAATCAAATAGTGCATAGGGATTGACCTTGTAAAACATGGCCATAAAGGATTGCTTTGTTGATGATAGGGGTAGACAAACTGTGGAATAGACCTAGGTTTCTATGGATGGTTATTCGTAAGCACATTTACATCCATTTTCATGTACCTCTATGAATGAATGATAATAGCTGACTTGCTTATGTGTGCATGCTAGGACAATCAATATTTCTTACTCTTGATGCACGTTATGGTTATCTAATATATGCTTTGGTGGAATCAAGTTAGTTGACTAGTTCCAAATTAGTGACTAATTTGAAGATGCCTGGTGCTGTTATTGGTTAATTGAACTTTCTTCTTTTATATAATACAAGCGAACATGTCCGAGCAACGGAACGTACAGTTTGACCAATTAGACTCTTATCCCTAATTCATCACGCACTACTCTACTACTATTAGTAAAACCGGCCAGGACTCTTATGCTCGGGGGAGTGGAGGGACAGACAAACTGGGAGAGAGTGTGATGGACCTTGGAGGAAGAATTTTTCTCCTTTTAATATTAGGTATAGATTTATTGCCAGCCAGATTTTCTTCATCTTATAATGAATGCCTACTTTGGAGGTTACTCAATGAGTTTCCAGAGCAGTCGAAACTAAAGGTAGCTTGAGGAAAGAAGAGAGAACCGTGCTGCACGCTTGGGTGTGTGTGTGTGTGTGTCTGTGGGGGGGGGGGGCGTTATGACAGCAAGAGAGGCTAACGTGTGGCTCTGGTGGCTAGTGGAATTGGTTGGGTGTATGAGAATCCTAGCTATTGTTTGACCAATAGACTGTTTGATGGAAACAAAAATGAGGTAGCTGGGTCAGCTCAGGGTAACCTGTAGCCGTCTGAGATGGGAACGAGGAACTTTCATCTGGTTTAGCCGTTTAGGGGACATACTGCGGTGATGCCTGAGTTTGTAGCATAAAGAATGGATATTCGAGTCAGGACATGTGGCACCCCCATGTGCAACACTTCAAGAGTTGAATTTGATGATGCCCTTACAGGATCTGCCAACCTTTTTTTTGTGCGTGTGCGTGTGTGTGACAGTTTTACTTTATAGTTACCAATGAAACTTTCTGTCATTCTGTGATGAAGCAGATGGAAACTTGACTTGGCACTTGCTGATAAAATTTTAATTTATTAGTAATGTTTGGATTGGATGCCTTGAGCTTAATCACTTGACCATTAAATTCTTATAATGTTTCACATCTTTTTCAGGTGCACTGGTTACTGTTGGAGTTCTGACTGCTGGTCTGATCAGTTTCCGATATGGGAACTCTCAGCTGGGTCAGAAACTAATGAGGGCACGTGTAGTTGCTCAAGGCGCTACAGTTGCTCTGATGATTGGTAGTGCTTACTACTACGGTGATGAAATCAAGCTGTTCAAGAAAGGGTCAAGCCCATGATCTTCCATGAATATTGCCTGTTTTTTTGGTGTATGGAGGAATGTCTTGTATACGCTGAAATTTCACCTGGACCCTGCTGTTCGCCCCTTTTGACATCATTTTGGCTAACAAGAAATCGTTGTTGGTCTGGTCGGCAGGCTTGAAAATAAATAATTTGTTTGTTGATTAGGTTATGCATCAATTGCTACATGTTTGTACAAGCGCATTCTGTTGTCTGGCAACCAGCAGCTGAGGTGACCATCTTGCAATTCTTGCTGACCTAAATCTGAAATGTGATAATATCGATTACATGATATATAGCTGAGGCAAATTGGTCGTGATAGTCTACTAACTGTACCATAGATACAAAAGTGTGCTGTGTGCTTTTGTGGTCCTCGCAATTCTGAGATTGTCATATGTGATAGTTCAGTCACTATGGTGTGTGTCCAAACTCTACAACTGACCTTGACACCCTCAGAAGATGGTGGTAGGGTAGGAGACAGGAAGCATGATCTATTAGCCAAATTTAACGTTGGGACATAAGAATATTTACATTGTGTTGCTTTTGGGAGCTTGGAACGCTGGATACAAAAGGGCGAAAGGCCCGCTCGTTCAGCAAATCAGCATCAACATCAAAAGGTACATCGATAGCAGAGAGACCGAACAGCCAAATTTTTGTCTGTATACACGTTGCAAATAAGCATCAACATCAAAAGGATATATCGCTCGCCGGTCAGTATATTTCGCTCGTTCACTGTCAGTATATTTCTTACACGTTGCAAACTCGTTCACCATCAATATTTCTTACACGTTGCAAAATGTGGAGGAACAATCTGGGATCAACTTCAACAGAGATGAGCGATTGAGCACCCAGAGATCAGTCTCCACTTTTGGCAAGTTATCAAGCTTTTTGCTGTTTCTAGACGTCATGTTATAGCTTGCTTGTATGATACTCCCTCCATCCCAGAAAGAACATAAATCTCATTTTTCAATGAATCAATCCGTCTAAATTTGACCAAATATACATAAAATTTACCATATTTATAATGCATAATAAATATCATTAGATCATAAATTTGTAGTCTACCACACAAGCTGTCATTTCAAAATTCTTAAACTTTGTACAAAGTATAAATCAGGCAGGAACTTGCTATTTTTATCTCATTGAGACTTGAGAGCAAAGTGCACACATGAATCTCAGATTGTAACTTGTAAGGTGCTGAAGCTGCCATTACAAATCACAGCCTCAAAGGGCATAAGTACATAAATACAACAAAAAATTATGCCCCTACACTTTAGAAATTTCTATATTGACTTCACATTGGCCACCATTAACAACTAAAAACAATCTCAGTGAAGGCTCATCGTGAATTTTTGACATGACTTCGGTATAACCCTGAAAGCATATTCACATTTGAATTATTGCCCGCAGACTAGAAGAAAAGAATCGCCCGTTCCAAGAGCACTTAATGCTGAAGTGCTTAAAATGATGATGCAGCACCCTCCAATTAGAAAGCTCCGTTTGTCCCCTTGTAAGCACGACAGTATCATGGTGAAAGTGTGAAACACGTTTTCTGTCTGCAAAATTCTCAGAAAAGTGGCCGTACGATCTGGACAATCCATCCTTTTTTGGATACTGCGTACTAAATCATCCAGAATGTGCAGTGCTTGCTGAACAACACTAGCTGTGTTCCAAAATATCACAAAGTCTGCGAGCTTCTTCCAAAGGATCTACTGGGAAAACTTCTTCTATCCAAAGCATCCGCATGTTCTGTACTGGAACAGGGAGCTCCACATTGAACCCATTTATATCATCTGGGTTTAGAGCTGATGTGATAACATTCTGCAAAAATATGGAGTTCATCAAATAGCATACATTTAAGAAAATTCAAGTATATTACTGATAAGCATAAGGCCTGACCAACCAATGCAGCAATTTTCTAGTCATTATGAAACTAGAAAACACATAAAGAAAAAGAAAATTAGGTGTATATCTCATGAGACAAATCAAATCATAGAAATGAACTACAAATCACCTGACTAATGACACAAATAGCAAATATTTTGTTACAGAACAATTCAAAGGCTGGTAGAATAATGTATAGTTTTCTATCTAATATAACCGTACGGTATTAATATAAAAATATTTTATTAGCTCCAATGATATATGTGCTAGATAATTGATCCAAACTCAAACATGCTTTGACAACCAATGTATAGATGAACTCACCAGAGATCCCTTCCAACAAGCATTAAGGACAATAAATTTCAGAAGTTTGTCTTCCAAGCGACTTAAGACTTTGTCCGAAACAGAAGATGCATCCAAATCTCGGCAAGAGAAATCAGGAGGAATTCCACAGTTCTTTACGGTAACGCAGCTTGTGTGCTTCTTCAACATTTTTCAAGGCAGCATCCAATAGTATATTGTAAGTTTGTGCTATTTCCTCCTTTTGAAAGCTTTAAATTAACAGAAGCATCCAGATGTGAAATTTCCTGCAGTCTAAGCAATAATTCTGCCCTAGCACCATCAGCCCAGCCACAGCACAGGGATGATCCATCATCTGCAAAAAGCATAGGTAATATAACATGATTAATAAATACATGTGCACTATGCAAACTGTAAAACATCCCTGTGAATCATTGGAGCTATTTCGAATTTGGGTATGATGTATACTATTCTGTAGCTTAAACAGAAAAATACTGCATATCTTACCAAGAATAAAACCAGCTAGCGAACTTTTACGTTTGGAGTTTCACCATGATTAGTCGATTTGTTCAATACCAGCACAAGGACAGTTGCTACCTGGAAGAAAGATGATGACATCAGATGATAACTTCAAAATGAGTAAAGCAAAAGATAAAATTGAGCTAGCAACCAAAGAATACATCTGACCAACAGGACCCTGAAAGATTCAAATGTAGTACATCTGTAACATGTAGAGTGAACTTTGAGCAGAAAGCAACCTACCCTGCAGTGAAATTGCATGGGTCTACTGTCTGTAAAATACTTCTGATGAAAGAACAAGCACAGTGAAGCTGTGCTAAGTGAACCATCTTTTAACCAATTAGACTTTGGTGACGAAATAACACTTTGTTCAGTAAAGTTAGCATGGCTGATGGAGCTAACCTCAATATATGTCTCGGAGGTTAACAATAATCTATGCCTGGAGCCAGAAAACAGAGAATATAAGAAACAAGCAAATAGAGAATGCAATTGCCTATTTAGAAGTAAAATGTACCCTGAAGTTCAGCTTTAAACATTAAACCTGATATTATGTAAAAAGAATGTGTGATCCCAAGGAATTAGTACGGTGAGTTACTGTGTAAGGATTGACAAAAGTAGACTCATAAAAATTAGGATGCAACTAAGTTGATTGACATGTTTATCCATGTGGAGTATAACATGTAAGCGGGGCTCACTAGTACTCACTCACTCAAGCTGCATAATTTACTTCTACAAATAAAGATATAACTATTGGTTAGCTAGTCAGTTCGCTCAACTCGTTCTATTCCGTGTACCACCAAACTACCATTTTTTACAAAGCAAGGGTCGACATCAGGTTCCTAGTCAGATCAAGGTAAAAGCTACAATGCTGCATATGGGTAAATAGGGGTCTTTTGCTGCAAGGATCCTAACAAAACAATGGAAGAAACAATTAAAGAAAATCAGAAGAAAGGGAAGGAGCAAACTGTTTCAAACAGACGCGATGGAATGTCACTGTTGCCCCTGGTCCTATGCCAACAGTAGAATGTTTGTTTGAGTATCCACGGATATATACCTGCAAAGGATTGCCATGAAATGGAATATCAAACTAACAACTACGCACTTAATAAAAAAATGTAACCTGGTTATTTACCGCATGATTATTATCAGCAATATGGATACATAGACTGTACTTCTCATTACCAGGAACGCATCTTTCCCACTTACAGACAAGTGAATGTATATTTTCTACTTTTCCTGTACCGATATTAATAAATCTCCATGAGCCTCTTCTTAGTTTTGAAGTTAGCAGACACAGAAGCATCTTTAGGCATCATAATATCAACACATGATGACACACTTAAAACTTCACTGGAGGAAGCACACAGCCCATTTAATACATGACATACGGTGTTATATTCTTCCATCTTTTTACTTATTGCCTCACAAGAAAAATCCAAATGGAAATAAGAATTATGGTAAAAGTCATTCCAAGGCTGAATTAATCTTAGCTCATCGTGGATGATATTTCTGGAAAATAGCTCATCCATCTTCACTGAAGTACCTCAATAGATTGATCCCCAATTGGCCCCTTGATGTTTATATTACCATCAATGGTAACGGCAAAGCTCCAAAGACTATCTTGAGAATCTATCGAGACTTTACCACCTCAAGCACACATCCACAACTTCCCATGGTGCAAGTAGAACTTCCACTGGGACATTGGAGAATATAGGAACCATTTATTCATGGTAACTGCATATTGATGTGGTTATGTAGAATTTAGAGATACTAGCTATAGAAACACAGCTAAATGTGGAGGTGGCAATGAAATAATGAGAAAATAGGCTTCTTCATCAAAACTATACCTGATATTTCATAAAACTTCCCGCCTTGAACTCCAACAAAATCCTTGATGAGTATTCTCTTCTTTGTACAATAGGTTCATTTAGAACAGTACCTTCTGATCCAGAGGAATAGGTAGACACCAGAGTACCACAAAGATCGGTGCTGCCAAAGCTTAGCGAACATGGAATACTACATGATTTTGCCACAGAGGCTCCAGAATTACCTAGTAAAGTAGAGTGTGACATTATAAAGCCCTCAGCATCCTCAAGAAATTCACCTTGCCCAATAAACTTCAAAACGTATGGAAGTATTACAGCTTCAGCATACAGGGACCCTGACATGTTTTGACATTGAATCTGAAATGGCAAATAGAAAACACAGACACTATTTAGGAGCATGATTATGCTAAAAATCTCAAGATTATTGACATATGAAAAACGACTCACGTTGCTGTTCACAGGAAATATGTGGGACAACTTCATCAGGTGAAACAACCTGGCCCTATAATTAATATAAGAAGCAATACTCAAGGAAGGGCCAATATGAATTAATTCCCTCCATTGAACTATAACATAAATATTGAGGTGCTGCAATCTTTTTTTGTAAGGAAGCTTCTGAAACACAGCTTTGCAGGACAGGGGATCAGCAACATCATAATGGTCTACGTAAGCCACTGGGCCTTCAAGGGCTAGTTTGTAATCGACGATCTGAATGGCAAAATGAAAACAAGAAAACAATGTTTAATATATACAGCCAAAAGATAAAATGGCAACTTTACTGTTCTGTGAATTTTGTGCAGCATACAGCAGGAGATAGTATACCAAAATCACGACTTATTGTGAAAGAAAACAGAAAGTGCCATTGTATTAGATGTGAAAATCAGAAAAACAACTCAATATCTTCTTGTGAAATCAGACGCATACGAACATTTCCTCTACATATTTTCTTTTTGAGTGCAAAGAAATATGAAATAATAAATAGCACCCTAACATAGCAGCATGAACTTTAAAAAGGGCAAGGCAACTAAGAATGGATGCCACTTGTAGGTGAGAAGGTCATTACGGCAAACAGAATCATGAAGGTTCTACATTATACAGACAATTTTGCCTCCCAGCAAAAAACTTCCGGCAGCTCTAATTAGACCATCTTTGTTTTTTGAGAAAACAGTAGGGGTAAAAAAACCACTACGTATTATAAATACTACTAAAAGAGTTAAAGATGCAAACAAATAGAAGATCAAACAAGAAACAAACAAGGAAATGAAAAAGATCAAAACAACTACACAAAAGCTTCTAGCCATTGCTTTAATAACTGGGAAATGCTTATTTCTTGGCTCGATGGTTCACCAGAGCAAATTCCTTAAAAATAGATTTGCACTGCTGGGTTCTCGGCTTAGCTCCCCTGAAGAAGTCATTTCTTGAAGCCCGAAATACCCCATCACATGAGAATGATGATTTCCATGTAGAATGGAACTCCCAATGGCTTTTGAAACTCTCTGATTCATAGGAGGGGAGGTCCATATTTTTTTCTTCTGAGAATATTCTAATACTGAGCCTGTCGTTTAGGAGTAGGAGCAGCCAAAAGAAGACTTTGTATTTGTGTTGATAGGAGGACTTCCAAACTCAAAAGCCACTTAAAACTGGATGCATCTCAGAATGTCCAGTTAAAGACTTCTATGCCTGGGCTGATGTAAAGATAAGAACCACAAGTGTGTGTCCACCAACCAGTTTCATATGCCCGGCTTATCCCCTCTAACTCTAGTTTCAAAGCTTGTAGCTGGGCATACGTTTATCTTTAGCAAAAGAGTGAAGTTTCAGATAAGTCTGACAGGTAAGTCTTCCTTCCATAGATCTCAAAGTAAACAGATTTTACCATCTTCAATGATTACTGTTGCAATGTCCAGAAGCTTCAAAATGTCCCTACACCAAATTGCCAAAATGAACCCTTATTTATGACTCAGCCACTTACCGTTCGGTAATTTTCCCCCAAACTCATTCAATCCATGGGATATCTTATTGAAGAATTTGTGCAAACTTTTTCATCAACAAAGCATCATTTTGTGTCCTCAAGTTTATAACCACTTAACCACCTTCACCCCTGGGCTTGCAAACCATGAATCAAGTAGCTTTTGGTGGATTTTTAGCATTTACATCCCCCCCACCCCACCCCCACCCGGCCGCCCCTCCATAAGTAATGCTTCCTAAACTTATCTGCACGTTCCATCGCTGTAGAGTACGTTCTGAATGTGCACACGAAGAAGGTTGGGAATGAGGCAAAGACTTGAGTTAGTTAACTGCAGCCAACCTGCCTGTTAAAGATAGATGGATGAATTGTAAGTCTTCTCTCACATCTGGTGACCAATTGCAAGAAATCTTCAATTTTTGGCCTTGTAATTCCCAAAGGAAGTCCCAAATATGTGAAAAGTATAGTGCCTTTGGAGCAAGCAGAAGTTTTTTGCAAGGATATCAAATTTGGCAGCCTCCACATTTATTGGAAGCATTACTGACTTTGAGTAATTTACTTTGGATCCTGAAGAATCAGCAAAAGGTGTTGAGCAAGGCTTCCAAGATAAAAAGGTGTCAACTATACTACACCCTTCAAGGATTATAAGTGTATCATCAGCATACCGAATCATGGGAAAATCTGCATTTGAGTAGACTAGAATTGAGAGATTTAAGAACCCTTGATTCTTTGCTTTATTCAGGATGGTTTGGAGCAAGTCAGTAGCTTACACAAATAAGAGGGGAGAGAGTGGGTATCCTTGCCTCACACCTAGCAATGGAAAGTTTTTCCGGCTACACTATTTGATAGCACTGTAGAAGTTCCTGAGTTGAAAATTGCTGACATCCAGGAGCGGCAAAAATCCCCTAATCCCTGATACCTCATTATTCCCATAATAGCTTCATGTTCAATATTGTCAAAAGCTTTTTCAAAGTCTACCTTCAGGATAACCAATTCTTTTTCGGATTGGTAGCGAACAGGTCTGTAGCCTAGTGGTCACAAGAGCCTTAGTAACACCTCGCCTGTGGGAGAGAATTTAAATAGGACCGGGTTAAAAAAACACCCTTCTTCAGTTGTGCCCCAGCCATGTGTCCTGGGCGTTTTGTGGCACATTCAGGGCAGCCGGCCGTAGGGGTGTTGATCAGCCTGCATGCAAGAAGCTGCTTCTTAATGCAATGCTGCGGGGGTGGTCTTCCCCCAGCAGGTCAGGTTTTTCAGATTGGTGGCATAAGTGTAAATACTCGAAGGACCAATTGAGGCGATCTTGAATTGTCCTTGTAGTGAACCCATATTGGTTTTTATGTATAAGGATCATGGTCAGCTTCTGCAATCTGTTTGCCAAAATTTTTTTGATGAGAATAATTGAACAACTGAGAAGGGAGATGGGCCTGAGATCATCTACTCTTGATGGACCATCCTTTTTGGGAACTTGAAACTTCCCTAGTAAATTGAGAGCTGGCAATCTCTACTAGTACTACATGAAGCTAACAAAAGCATATAAGTCAGGCACTGTCAGAACTGTAACAGCGACACACCATTGTTCTGTACATTGTGTCATTACGCTGCTTTAAAAAACCCTTGTATTAGGATAAGTATGTTGCAATCCAACATATGGAGTTAGTAGCTGGTAATGCCCGTAGAACCATTATATATCTCAACGCATTTCTACAGAACAGAATTCCGTCCGCACTCCGCACAAGATTGTGCAGCAAGGGAGTAAGCCCTGGAGGAGCTACCTCTTCTGTGTCTGCCGAGGAGACAAAACAGCTGCTACTGGATTATCCGTTTGCACTGCCACCACTATGGCACCAGCTGGATTATACCCAACCTCATAGTGCTAGTTGATCATAGATTTAGGGTGATACAACATCCACCTCTGCCGGATTTCTTAAACAACCATTCAAAGGTATTTATTCTGATGTCAAAGTGATTAAGTGAAAATCATAAACTTTACAACAAGGCAGGCCACGCAATCAAGTAACAAAATTACAATAATAAGATGCATTACATATTCACAACATAGCCTTCTAGTCCCAAGCAAATTGGGGTAGGCTATTGCATACGTATTCAAGTAGAAATATTTCATAGTAAACTATGGTTATTACCTCATAGATGCCATACAAGCTCTCATTCGGTGGAAGATCAGGTATAAAAATATCTATACATCCAGTGGAATCAACCAACTGCAGTCTCCCTGACAGTGGAGAAGTCTGTATGCAGAAAGGACACAGGCATTTCAAAATGTATCCTAATACTGAGTCTTAAGAATTAGGTCATGAAGTAAAATCACCTATGTGGCTACGCAGCAAATTCATTCACTAGTCTGCACAATCACATGCAAATGAACTATTTCCAAAAACCTCCATGTACTACTAAAATGTTTAACAGTTGCCAAACTCTATGCCTTCAAAATTGTCACATTAATTGGCCTAATCTATTTACTTGAACTGTCTACATGCAAACTATATTCAATACTAAACCTGCAAAAATACAGCTCTGGATACAATAATAGATGAACTAGGGCTATACATGTTGAGTTCCAAGGTAAATATCCCATCAGAAAATTCAGAAATAAACAACAAAAACAAATTTTAGTACCAAAGATCAATATTCCAGCTATTAAAAAATTAGTGAAAGGAAAACTCGGTTCAAAAATCTTACAAAATATTCGAGGTAGCACAATTCTAGTATCTTATGACTTGATAAAAAAAATTAAAATAAATATCATTACTTTGAGGTAGATAACGCAAGAATTACAAATAACCTTGATGCTTCCCACTAAAACAAAATCCAGATCTTCACTCGAAATTAATCTTTTGGTACTGCTGGTATAGGAAAAACCATCGCATAAGAAACCCTGGCTCTTGCCCACTTCTTCAGAACCATTCCATAATTTAAGCATCGATGATATCCACAATGATTCACCCTTGAAGACTAGATTAGAGAATGGTATGGCCTAGTGAAGTCAATACTTAATTAGTAATGAGGATAAACCAAACTAGTTTCAAGTAAACAATTAAAGAAGATAGTAAGATACCAGTACCAATTTGCAACCCTCCAATTTAGATCCAAGGCATAAGCTACCACAATTATGTCTACAGAATTTCATTATTAAACTTTCCTGAACAACCAAGTTCAAGCTAATTAATTCACAAGCAAAAGAGGTGGGACAAGAACATTAGAAAGGGCTAATACAACAAGCACAACTAACATTAAACACTGTTGGTAAAGTTGGGAAAACTATAAACAGAAATTGTAAGTGTCTACATGCAGTACTTTAACTTCCAGCAAAAAAAAATTTGTCCATGGACATGCCTCGCTCAAAAACATACCTTGCTCCCCTGCCAGTTCGAGTAAAAAAAAATTTATACCAACTAAAGATTTTTTTTTGATATAAGTAACTTTCATAAAGAACCCTGTCCCTGAGGTGTGCCACAAGATATTCAGAATTCTAGTGCCTCATATCAGTCTTTTGTGGGGGGAGTAAAAATATCAAAAGTAACAAGTAAACAAGCATATATTGGCAATTAAGGGCAATCCAAAAGCAAGGATAACTTCCTTTTGGCAGTGAACCAAACCCATTGTTAATCACGTCCAATATTTTTAGCAGAAATCATATGCATTGCATACATTCGATGATACACTACGTCACTACCTCCATTTTCTTTTATAAGGCACAACTTGGTATGACACTTGGTATGACACGTTCTCGGTTCTCCTAAATTACACTTTAACCATTTATTTATTTTATATTATATTTATTATATAATAGTTAAAATTGTTGGCCAAATTTTTGGTCAAAGATTTAAAGTTTGAATCTTGATATGTGCGCCGCACCTTATAAAAAAGAATATGGAGGGAGTAGATATACTACTAATAAACTTGCCTTGGGTTGGCACTTTGACGGGAGAATTTTAGTAGCATAGGCATGAACCACTCCTTGCTTCTGTTGGTACCTTACAATACAAGAGTTTTAATTCAGTAAATTAGCTGCAGTTACAGTGGAGTGACAGTAAATAATTAAACAGTCTATAAACTGTTCCAATGATGAAATATAAACTAAAAACATACATTTTGTGAGCCCAAAATTTCTTTATCAGAAAATAATTTAGTGAACTTCTGTTTAAAGCATGATATCAGGAGTAACATCCTGAAATAGAAATGGAGAAAACAATGAGCATACCTTGTGACAGAAAATTGTTTATTTTGTCAATCATTTATCATGGTAAGTATATTTCATAGAAGCTAAAGTGCTAAACCATAAAAAGTTCAAACCAAAATCGAGCAGGCATCTCCAATGAGTCAACAAATGTTCCCAAGAGGCCCTTGTTCTCTGTCTTCAAATGAATTCTGCACCAAGAGTAGAAGCTGTTGGATGATATCTGTAATACTCCCTCTGTCCAGTTTGTAAAAGGTGTGTTTTGAATCAGATAAATCAAACTTTGTAAGGTTTGACAAACATGTTAGACAGGGCATGGGCCTTAGGCCTTATTAGCTTCAGCCATATGGGCTCATGTACAGCCAGCCTGATCTCTGTATAGAGGCTGGCCAGGGCTGTGGAGTTGTATTTGGACTCCAAATCTGGGTCTCTAGTAGATTGGGTTGTATTAGGCAAGGATACTGGAGGGAGGTTGTGTTTCCATAAGCCGCCCCTATCCTCACCTATATATGTACATGTTCTTGTCCTTCAATAATCAATCTAGTGTCCCCAACTTACAAAACAATTAGTTAAATTATATGCATGTTTCGTCTATAAAAGTTGTATCAGTATATTTGTATTTCAAAATGCTTTTTATTATTATGTTTATTTTGTAGCAACTGATAATCTATTGAAAAAAGTTAAAGGTGGTAGCCTCCTTTTGAAGACTTCATCAAAATATATCCTACATTGATGGACAGAGGGAGTAGTGTGTAGTGACATGGTAATATAGTTCCTGTCTTACTTGGAGTCCACCGAGGAGAAATAATTTACAGTAATGCAGGTTTTACAGCATGTTGCAAGCAGAACAATCCGTGTCCAAGCAAAATTCAGACACGTTGCTCGAAAGTTCTTTACAGAGACCTACAAAGAAGTAGAATAGGTAAGTGGCACCTTAAGATGGAAAAATGTAAGACTGAAAATTTGAAAGTGAAGGTGACAATTTGCAACATACAATGGCACCAACTCGAAGGGAATGTGGTGGTGGAAGCTGCTGATCATCAATCAGCAGCCATGCAGTGTTATCCAGCTCGACCACCAGACCCTGCGAATAAATTCCAGTGATAACCCCAGCATACTCCCCACCGCACTTCTCAGGGAAGCTATACAATGGCAGACTGCCCCTATAGGATGGGCACCATGCTATGGCTGTCTTTGCAGATGACACCAACATTGTGTGTGAGGCTTTGTCCCCAACAGAAACAATTTTTTTCTTTAACCCGGAAATGTACACCAGCCTCCCCACAAGCCACACTAGAACCGGCCGCCACATGCTCGACGCATCCACAAAGTAGACAAATTTCATCGTCTCAAACTTGTGACTCGGGGCATCTTCCGGCGGTGTCGCCCTGTAGCAGCGGCGACACCCGCAACACAAAATCTCCGCCAGAAACCCGACTGGATTTCTGCTTCCTGCTCCTGCATCAGTCTTGGCGAGAGGCATACTGAACACCACGCTGACGGACCTGACCAGACCAAATGCTAAGCCGCGGGTGGCCAAGTCGGGCTCTTGATCGGGGAAATGGAACGGGACCGTCGCCAGGAAGCCACGTTTCGCGGGAGGAGCGGACTCCTCCTCCTCCGCGAGGCGCCAGCGGACCACTTCGAGCACGCCCGGGGCGGCGTGGAGGCGCACTGAGGGTAGGTAGTTCCACGCGAGGACGAGGATCTCGCGTCCCAGCGCAGTGGGATCGAAGTCGAGGATGCAGCAGCAGACGGAGGCGGCCGCGGTGGCCGGGGTGGAGGCAGCGGTGGGGGATGGGTCGGAGAAGGAGAAGCAGTTGCTGCGGCAGGAGGCCGGGGAGGTCGCGCGGAGGGAGGAGAGCGTGCCGGAGAGGAGCACAGGGTGGGATATCGGCGCGAACAGGACCGTGCCGGTGCTCCAGGTTGGGGCTGGGGCGGAGAGCTTGTGCTTTTTACGGGGCCGGGAGGTGGAGCTGGAGGTGGGGACGGAGGGGCAAAGGAGGGAGGAGGCGCCGGCGGTGGGGCGGCGGAGCTGGAGGAGGTCGGCGACGGTGAAACGCGGCGGGCCGGGCGCCGAGGCCTCCATGGCTAGGGCCTAGGGATTGCGGGGTTTGGGGTTTGGGAATTTTGGGAGGGGAGGGAGAGGGAAGAAGAAGGAGAAGAGGAGGCGGCGAGCGGGCGGGAAACGAGGAGGTGGGGACTGGGGTGTGGGGCCCTATTGGCAGTGGCATGACGTGTGGGGCCGGTGGTGGGCTTAGATGGGCCTCGTATTATTGGGTTGGGTCGGGGAAGACGGGCAGGCATGTTGGGCTCAGGTCTTGTTGATTTGTTGGATAATGACGAGTTTTCCTTCTTTTTGTTTTTCTGCTACTCCGTAGTAAAGGACCGAGGACTCGGAAAACGGGCCGAATTTTTTTTTGTTTTTCAGCTTTTTTTTTTAAAGATTTTCACAAATATCTAGACCCTGACCTCAGCACCGTGACAATTGACGCCGAGCTTACACGTCTTTGGCGCCGAGGTCCAGGGTCATTTTCTTCGTGTCGTTGACGTGGCTGCTTGTGTGGCGCGGACGTGGCATGAGCTCGGCGCCGTGGATCTTGGCGTCGAGCTCGGCGCCAATTACTACAGCGTCGATCTATGGTAATTGATAAATTTTAATTTTTATCATGACTTGGATATTGAGGAATATGACTAACTCTAGATTTTTTTTACAGTGACTTGTTGTTTGATCACTTAAAACAGTCTAGAAATACTTAAGATAAAAATGATCTATGGTTTATGTTCATGAACTAGCCTAAAAATGCTTCTAAGTATTGGATCAATAGTTAACTCCTTTTTTCATGATGCTGTTTTCACCAGGGTAAAACTATAGTTTCTTTTCTAGATACAAAGTTTAACCTTTAATAGAAGTTGTAGTTTGAGTTGAGTACAACAAACTTTGCTTTTTGATCTAAACCTAAATCAGTCTTTAACATGGCCGAATTGTGATGCTGTTTTGGCCCCTCTAAATCTTTCTAATTCCCTTATCGCCGGTAGTGAATTGACATGTTTACAACATTTTATCTTCCAAATTTGTATATTTCCAATAGTTGCCTATAAGTTTGTGGTGCAAACAATTTCGAGGATCTCAAGTCATAACTCAGCGAACTTCTGCTCATCATTAATGCCTATACGGAGCACATCATCTTGAACTGGTTTGATACATAGACGTTTCATGGGCCCATTGATACGATGTACTAGATGATCTAGGATGACCTGCATGTCATGGTGTTCCTGTAAGGTTACCTCAAGGTCCAAGTTTTGGACGTTTACAAACTCCTTGATCCAGTTGCATGATGCTAGTATGCGTATATGCCCGTGCAGCTTAAAGCAATAACTAAGGGTCTTAGGCGGTCGAGCAATTGTGTCATCCAGAGAAGGAAACAAACCATCCATGCTCTTATCGAGTCACACTGACAAGGACTCCAGATGGTTGAGACACGAGATGGCAGAAAAGAACTCATGGATGTTGTCCAGGTTGGATATTGAGAAATGTGGTTAACACTAGAGTTTTACAGTGACTTACTGTTTAATCACTTAAAACAATCTAGAAATACTTAAGATAAAAAATTTGCCTAACCAAATGAAACTACAGCACGTTCGGGCGACACAGTACAGAGCTCGGCTCCTGCAGTACAGCGGGACAATGCAGGGCTCGGCTCTATGCGTCTATTGCATTGCTAACCAGAGATGCATTGGTGCATGCAACGAACCGTACATGTATGTGTAGGCATGCAAGCACGGGCGCAACACACCTCACCTGTAAAGCACGTCATGACCTATAAGCACGTGAAAATATAGCTAAATCTAGAATTTATGACCGTGACTAAGTCTGATTTTTTACCGTGGCTAAGTCCAAACTTGATGAAACTTGTTTTTGTTGTCATCTCCTCATAGAGTATTCAAACTCGTAGTACGGTATCAAATTTAGTTGCTATACAAATTTGGAAGATAAAATATCGCAAACATGTCAATTCACTACCGACGATAAGGGAATTAGAAAGATTTAGAGGGGCCAAAACAACGTCACAATTCGGCCATGTTAAAGACTGATTTAGGTTTAGTCCAATAGCAAAGTTTGTTGTACTCAACTCAAACTATAACTTCTATTAAAGGTCAAACTTCATATTAAAAAAGAAACTATAGTTTTACCCTGGTCAAAACAGCATCATGAAAAAATGAGTTAACTATTGATCCAACACTTAGAAGCATTTTTAGGCTAGTTCATAAACATAAACCCTAGATCATTTTTTATCTTAAGTATTTCTATACTGTTTTAAGTGATCAAACAATAAGTTACTGTAAAAAATCTAGAGTTAGCCACATTTCTCAATATCCAAGTCATTGTAAAAGTTAAAAGTTATTAATTTCGATAGCTCGGCGCCGTAGTAATTGGCGTCGAGCTCGGCGCTCAGATCCACGGTGCCAAGCTCATGCCACGTCCGTGCCACGCAAGCAGCCACGTTAACGACACGAAGAAAATGACCCTTAAACTCGACGTCAATTGTCACGGCGCCGAGGTCAGAGCCTATTTTTTGAAAGAGCACCGCCAGAGATGTATTTGTGAAAATCTTTAAAAAAAAGACTAAAAAACAAGATTCGGGAAAACGGGCTACTTTCCGGCATAAGTTGCAGCTTTCACGGAAGCAGCAGAAGGCAAAGACCATTTTTTTTCTTAGGCCTTGTTTTCACTCTCTCTCCATCACATCAAATCTTTGGACACATACATGGAGTATTAAATGTAGATAAAAAAATAACTAATTACACAGTTTGATTGTAAATTACGAGACGAATCTTTTGAGCCTGGTTAGGCCATAATTGAACAATAATTATCAAATACAAACGAAATTGCTACATTGCCAAATTCTGATCCTAACACTCATCTAAACAAGGCCTTACTGTACGTAGTTACTTGCAGGCTTAATTAAGCTGAAAAGAAATGGAGTCAACATGAGACTTGGCTCTATCGCATAAACGCCGCGTAGTATTTCTATTCACGTCAACAGCAAAATAAAGAGGCATTGAAACAACAAGCAGCCGCGTGTGCGTGGACGGATACGCAAGCAGAGAAATTGCGGTGGTGAGTCGTAAGCTCGCCCGATCCACATGTACTTAAGGAGTAATCCTCACAATTTCCCGATTTAGAACGGAGGCCGTAGCCACTGATCATCATTTGTAAATTCAACGGGCATATTACGATTTGCAACAAAAAGTAACCGGGTGACGAGCCAGTAGCCACTGATCATGTGTGGTTATGATGACAACAATAATGCAAATCCTTTACCCTCCAGGGCACGGAAGGAACACAAATAATGAACCACGCATGCAATTAGCGGATGGGAATCGCTGAGTGGTCATGGCACAAGCGCCATCATTTCATTTTCTAAGGCTGATGACGCGATGGAGGGTTAATCATTCATGGCTCATGGTCATGGGCCATGGCCGTTCACCAGTCCAACACAAGGACAAAAGGCAGCGCAACTTGGAGCGAATTTTTTATTTTTTTTTGGCCTTTTTTTAAAGTTTTTCATAAATATACCAGTGGAGGTATGTTTTTAAAATCTGGACCCGAAGCTCGGCGTCATCGTTGATGGCACCGAAATTACACGTCTCGGCGCTAAAGGGTTTGGCGCCTAGGTCGGGGGCCACGTCGGCATCAAAATAGAGCTGGGGTGACATGGCAGCTAGCTCGGCGCCATGGATCTTGGCGCCAAGCTTGGCACCGTAGATCTTGGCGCCGAGCCAGCCTTATAGGTGCGTCCGTTTACTTTCTCTCTTCCTTTCTTCCTTTTCCTCTCTTCCTTTCTCTCCCACTCTCTCGTGCCCAACACCTCCTGTCGGTGTTTTGAGTAAACATCAACGAGTAAATTTGTGTTATTGTGCGTCTGACCCAGATGGTGTGTTAAAAGACACAAGGTTTATACTGGTTCGGGCAGAATGTCCCTACGTCCAGTTCGTGGCTGTTGCTCGTGTTATTAGCGCTGAAAAGTTCGTAGTAGGGGTTACAAACGGGCGAGAGAGGGAAAGATCACAAGTCTCTGATGGAAAGGTCGAATGGGTGCTGAGAGCTTGGTCGCTACTCAGCTATGTATGATGTGATGCGTGGTGCCTTGAATAAATCAGTCCCTTAGTGGGGTGCCCTGCCATCTCTTTTATAGGCTAAGGGAGAGCAGGGATTACAGATGGGAGAAAGAAGAAAAATCAGAGACAAAAGGAGGTCCTTCAAAGATACCGGGTATTCTTTTTCCTCTATGCGAGCCCCGCTGACATGGCAGGCGGTGCCAGAGATAGCCCCACGCTGGGAGCACGTCCGCTGATCCTGTCATGTCCTGGCATGGTCAGGAAGTTATCACGTCTCATCCCGTCCCGGCGGGCGGCGCGGCGGACCCGGGTACTAATCCGCGGCCATATAGGGAGCAGACAGTGCAGAGACCGCACGTCCGTTATTGTAGGTGATGCGAGTTTCCTCTTAGACCGTAGTGGTTGTCGTGAGCTTCCGTCAGGATTCACGTCCGAGGGCAAATGGCGGCGCCCACAACACTGTAAGACAAATATTGGCGCCTACAACATTGTTCAAGCTCTGACATGCCTGGAAGGGCTTAAAGTGCCTGTCTTGTCACATCCTGACGGTACTTTCCTGCAGGCGTGCAGGGTATGGTCCTCGGTATTGCGGTTGACTTCAGTGCCCTGCCTTATATGCGCGCGTAGTTATGAAGGAGCAGCGCATAGACGTCGGGCGAGGCGGAGCCGGCCCTCGGACATCGGGCGAGGCGAAGCCAGCCCTCAGACGTTGGGCGAGACGGAGTTTGCCCTCAAATATCGGGCGAGGCGGAGCCAGCCCTCAGACATCGGGCGAGGCGGAGCCAGCCCTCCGACGTCGGACGAGGTGGAGCCAGCCCTCAGACGTCGGACGAGACGGAGTTTGTCCTCAGACGTCGAGCGAGGTGGAGCTAGTCCTCAGACGTTGGGCGAGGCCGAGCCAGTCCCCAGACATCGGGTGAGGTGGAGCCTGCCCTCGGTCGTTGGGCGAGGCAGAGCCAGCCCTCAAACGTCGGGCGAGGCGGAGCCAGCCCTTAGACGTCAGGCGAGGCAGAGCCAGCCCTCGGGGGTCGGGCAAGACGAAATTTGTCCTCAGACGTCGGGCAAGGCGAAGCCAGTCCTCGGACGTCGAACGAAACGGAGCCCACTACCTTGGTGGTTTGTACGAGGCGGGACCCACTAGGAAATGTAGTTGCGTTCTTGATCGCTCTAATGAATTAGCGTTGATGGGTATCAACTCCTCTTTTTGGGTACCCTACTTCTGGTCCCCGACAGTAGCCCCCGGGCGATTCGAGTAGAATCGTCTGGAGGATGTTTTGACTTGCCAGCGGGTGCGCGCGAGCGCACCCAATGGGTGTAGCCCTCGAGCCTGTGGAGGAGTAGAATACTCCTTCGGAGGTTTTTTTGAAAGGGAGGACTCTACGGGCCTTGGCTTTCTCTTGTCGCCCACGGCGTGCCCTGGGGATGGTGATTCCCCTTTTGCCGAGGTCGGACCCTTCACGGGTGTGGTCATGAGTTTTGATTGTTGTTTAGCTGGATAGTTCGATTGGGGTCCCGACATCCTGTTCGCGGGGATTCGGCCAGGGTAAGCTTTACTAAGACTCAATCGTGGGCCGATATACCCGTGGCGCTCGTGTGCTTAGGCGCTGGCCATTTGCGGGGCCCAGCTCTTTCCACCCTTTGTAGGGGTGTTTGGAGCGGCTATTGGACCCGTTGATGGGCCAACCGTTGGACTCCTAGGCCTAGACGGGCCATAGATGCGCTTTTGATCTATATTCCTTTTACTCATAATGAGTCCCGGTCCGCCCCGGGAGGCGAAATGTCCAGTGATTTTCCCATAGGAAAGGATAGGGATTGCATGTGCATATCCCGTAGTGTGACGTTGTGGCAGATCATGGCAGGCGTGGAGATCCAGACAGACGGTTGGTTTCCTTACATCCATCGCCCCTATAAAACCAAAGGGTTCACCCCAAGGGTTTCGTACTTTGCCTCCTTGCCTTCGCATTTGCAACCTCCGCCGCCAATCGCCTAAGCTCCCCGCATCCGTGTCTTAGCCGTCGTCGAATTCGCATCCACCCACCCCCAATCTTCCAATGGAGCCATGGTGCCGCTCTAATATCACCCTCCAGCGCCTAGAGGGCCTCGTCTGCTGTGGTCTTCTCTGCGTGCGGACCGCTGCCGAGGAGTGGTGACTGCTCGGTGATGAGGACGCGCCGTCGCCGCCCGACGGTTATGTCATGTCCTTCGCTCACTTTCATGAGCGCGGATTCGCCACCCGCGCTCATAAATTCCTTCGGAGACTGCTGCACTACTACAAGGTGGAGCTATAGCACCTCAATCCCAATGGAATCTAGCACATCGCGACGTTCGTCGCCATGTGTGAGGAATTCTTGGGGATCGGTCCCCACTTCGACCTGTGGCGGTACTTCTTCACTGTCACCCTTCTGAAGAAGTGGAAGAAGAAGCAGGGGCTGAGCACGCTGATGGGATGCGCTAGCATCCAACTCCGCAATAACCGGGTCGGCGAATACCCGATAATGCATCTGTCGACCTCCAACAAGGGGTGGCATTCGCATTAGTTCTACATCAAGAACGACGCGGCCACCCCCCCTGCCAGAGTTCATCGGGCGCCACATCGAAGAGGTCCCAGACTCATGGAGGAAGTGGAGAGTCTCGAAGAAGGACAAGAAGAGGATCCGAGACCACCTCACCGCCCTCTGAATCTTGAAGGAGAGGGGCCTAAAGAGATCGGGCATCATCGGCGCCTACCATACGAGGATGGTGGCACCGCTGATGAGGCGCGTGCTTCTCCTGTACATGATGGCACCTGGGGCGTCACTCGACGGGACGGCGCTCGCCGAGGGAGCGCTCTCCCCCTCCGAAGTAGCGCAACGCATCAAGGAGGCGATGGAGCCTTCATGGGACGACACCGGCGCTATCCTCGAGTTTGTGTATCCGGTGCCAGGGTACCCCCCAATGCGGCCGGGACTGGGGTACATCGTCTTTGTAAGTTTTCTTTCCTCGTGCCTCCTTTTTAATTGAACTCCCGTCCTCTTGATGCTGATATTGAGATAGGGGGACCAGCCGAAGAAACTTGTCCTTATGGATCACCCGGCTCCACTGCCGAAGGACCCGTCCGTGATAGCGGCCAACCGTGCCGAGGCCGAGCGGTAGAGGAAGGCGAAGGAGGATGAGAGGAGGATGAAACAGCAGAAGCTGCGGGCACGGGAGCGAGGGGAGGACACGAACAGTGACGATGACGACAACAACGACGAGGAAGATGATGAGGAGGTAGTTGATGACACCGAGCGTGGTGACCTAGAGAGCAAGGACCTATTGACAGGTGCTCGCTCACTTTTGCAGGGGTTGGGACCTTTCCCCTTTCATGGAGGGGAAAGCGCATCCATGAGGCTAGCGGAGACAAGCGGACCATCGTACCGCCCTCAGAACCAGCAGGGGCGGGTAGATCTGCTGCCGCGCCCGATGTGCTAGCGGAAGGGGGCGGCCCCACCGCCACGCCCCAAGAGCCAGCGGGGGCGAGCGGATCCGCCGTAATGCTCGAGGTGCCAATGGAGGGGGGGTGGCTCCGCCGCTGTGCCCCCGAATGCAAGAGAAGCGAGCCCCTCTGCCCGGGAGCAGGGGGCGGGCTCAAAACGGCCCCATCCCGACGAGGTGGAGCAGGGACTTGGGGGTTCATCCCCCAAGCGTATCCAACGTCCAACAACGCCAATGTAAGTCCTCAACTCATCTGTTTTCTCTCTTTCTCTCGGTTTTTAGCGTGATTTATGCCCTTTTTTTGCAGCGTCTTGAGGTGGCGCAATCCTTTGTCGGTGGCGCTAGAGAAAAGCGTCGCCCTTCGGGTGAGGCGGGAGCCATCGGCTGACGTCACACCAGTCTTGGGCGGGAGCGGCGCCACCAGCGTTGCTGCCTCGTCGGCCGGTCAGGCACCGCTCGTGGCGGTTCCTGTGCCCTCGGCGGGACAAGCGGACGAGGGGACTCAACGGACACCCTCGGAGGTCGTTGCGCAGCCGGCGATGGAGGTGATCCCGCTGCCGACGAACAGAGCTGTCGGTCGTGCATGTGGCGTCGGCGACGGTGGATGTGACACCACCCGTCGAGGCCTCACCGACGCAGGCGGAGGTGGTAGTGGCTGCGAAGGGCAGGCCGCAGTCGGACGCCACCGTGGTGGCACCCAAGGCAGCGGTGCAATCCGCGCTACTAGCGGCCGAAGTGACGGCGCCCGACGTGAGCCGGACGGAGGAGGACGCGACCGAGGGGTCCTCGGACGTTGCGGCGGTGGCAGAGAGGACCGGCGGGGAGCTGCTCCTATCCCTGACATCGGGGAGCAAGCACTCGCCTGCACGGGATGAGCCCCTGCTCTGGTGAGCGAATTCGCAGGACTCGTCGTCGACTCTCTTTACCCTCGATGATCTTGCTGAGAGCATGGAGCGGGAGTCTTGACGAGGGGATTGCGGCCGTGCTGGAAGCTCTGAACCATGCCAGGGGCACCCTACGCGACGTCGTCATTCCCACTGGCCAGGTATTCACTTAATCTTGCCTATCGCCCTCCTCTTTCTTCCACTACACCACAACACCAAGATTAGCGATAGATAGTCTAACGCTAAAAGCGGCTACAACGACCGATAATCCGACGCTAAAAAGTTATAGCGACAGACTTCTACAGACGCTATAAGTCCTGTCGCTAAAAATCTTTAGCGTCAGACAGTACTTTTAGCGACAGACAGTTTGTTGCCCTAAATATTTATAGCGACAGATAGTCCATTGCTACTTTTTAGCGACAGATAGTCCATTGCTACTTTTTAGCGATGGACTGTGCGATGGTACATATGGTTTTAGCGACAGACAATCCAACGAGACAATTTTAAATGGTTAAAAAAATAAAAATTAATCCATCAACAATTATCCACAATAATACAAATGTCACTACACAACTAAGATTCAACTTCAACAAACATACATGCATCTTCACAAATTTGACCAAAACTTTACAACAGCTCACATAGATAAGCTCACCATCTCATCTATTTCCTCTAGAGACAATAAGAACATCCTTCGGAAAGCACAAATTATCATACAAGATTCCACTTGTTCCACCCATCACCCTTCGGATTGTTGCCCCAATTTCATTTATTGTTCCAGCTGCATCATCCATAGGGTAACTGGAATAGAGAAAAAATGCACTAATTTTTGGTCATATTTTACATGAAAAAAACAAATTATATCATAAAATTAGCTAACCCAATTATAATATCAGGAAAATGATATAGAAAAAAGACACTGGCTGGAAATGAAGTGTGATACAGTGATACAACTAATGAGAATCATCAGCATCATGTATATGATTTCCACTGGATAGGAACCAGCGTTATATACTAAAGCTAGTAAAACCAGGTGGGAGTTCATATATCGTCTTTTTATCACATGTCAGCAACACAATTATCATATTTCTAATCTACATTTCAAGAATAAAAAACTTCTTGCCAATGATTTGTAGTGCTTTTAACTTATCGCTTTTTCATATCTTCAAGAATAGTTGTTGCACCTCTACACATATGAAAAGAACAACAGTGAATTTCTCAATCCTAAAATAGCAGTAGTCAAATAAGCATTGAATTGAATTGGTAAACACAATTTAACTCACTGTGGTTCCACAGTCACCATCGCCCACTTTACTGTCCCATTCATTTAGGCTATCCTTGAGATTGATAATTGCAGTAGCACTTGCTTCAATAGCAGCCTCCAGGATACAGCCTTGCTTGCTCAGCTCCTGAGATGGAGCAAAAATCTGCAGAAGAATAACAAATCATGATAACTGAGGGACTGCAAATGCATATGCCAGTGTGATAAAAGACAAAAAAAAATGCAGAACAGTCTTGAAAGTTCTGTGAAAAGGGACAATGATAACAGAGCCCACTGTTTTCCCATTCTCTAGATCTGGCATTGAGAAACTGAGACGAAGCAATACCACATAACAGCTTGAAATAAAAAAATTACACCCATAACCCCTGCAGAACCAGCAAACAGCTACTTGCACTTCTTGCACGCTTCCACATTAGATCATAGGTGAACTGACGGCCTCAGAAAACAGATTGCAAAAATCCAAATAGGGAATTTGTTTTACCTCGTCATCCTTAATTGAAGGTGATGGTGGTAGAGGAACAGGAAACTTTGCTGGTGGACGGTTTCCTACAGTCAAGTGATCGACACTAAGTTTAGAAAATTGATTCATAATTGAAAGGTTCTGATAGAGCTTAAAATATTTCCCCCCGTGCTCAAAAACATGATTCGGAAGTTTTGATAGCAGTCTATGTGTCTCAATAAATTCCCATTTATCTGAACAACCTACACTTGTTACAGCCTTGAATCAATGTTCGCACAACACAGATCGTAAGCGAGTCTTTAGTATGTACAAGAAAAGGAAATGTGTGACAAGTGAGATGATGGTAGAAGGGGAAAAATAATGAAAGGAAGATAACAGTATAGGTCCAATTTATACACCAGAAATAAACAGGCCAAGCTGGAGCTTTAGTGGGAGCATCAAGTCTCTTCAAAATGCTATCATCGGACTTCATAATGGTAATAGATAATCCTGCAAAGGAAAGAGTCTGAAACAATATTGCTGCTGCTGCTGGTTACTTAGGAAGCTGAGTCAACGTAAAATGTTGACATATGCATTGTGATTAGATAAACAATTCCACTTAAGTCAAGCTGCTCAGTATATCAGATGATTATGAACAATATATAAAACATTTTCGTTTGTGAGCGTGACAGTTGGAGCAAAGCAGTTATCTTGACCAGTGAATGACTTACGAGGTTTGGTAAAATCATGTTAACTGAATGTAGAGATGACAAAGCTCATCCACATCATCATTTCGAGGAATCACGCAAAAAAACTGACCTGCCATATCAAGAGATGTCATAAGTGTGCCATTGTACACTCTGTCAACAACAATGCCATACACCAATTGCAACTCGGGAACTGCTTTTCTCGCTGCGATCATAAGTTCCATGATAGGAGTGGCTCTAATCTGCACATTAGAGATGGGGTTAAAGAACAAAGTTACAAACTGTACTCAATTCAGAACAAAGTGAGGAGAAAGGAAATAGCTACAGTTAAAAAGTAAATAAGTAATGTACACTTTCAAAGAGATCATCAGAAAAAGTGAATTTTAATCTAAGTACGATTTATATGGATAGACAATATTATAACCACGCTGCCATAAGCTCTCAATCCTCTCATATATAGCGTTAAATACATTTTGTAACAACTAATAAGCAGAAGTAATTAATGTAGTAGGCAGGCCAAAGTTAAATCTGAAAAAAGAAAAAATATTTCTAATGCTATGTCTGACTCAATCCTGTGAGCCCTTCTAGCTATTCCAAGTCTCTGGCCTATCCGAACCACGTAATGAAGTGCTATAGAGATGGTAATAAGTAATCTTTCAGGAATTCAAAATGGATGCCCCCTACCCCAGCAACCATCAGCAAACAAAGAAATTATCCATAAAAGACGATGACCTGGGTACAAGTGACATTAATATGCAACCTTCTAACCAGATCCCTTTGATGTATGACGAGGGGAGGTAGAAGTCTCCAACTGAAACATACTCATAATTTTTAAATTGTTGTTGCTTTCCCATGTATGATATTTTTTTCACTGAAAGTCTAGTGTTGTATATCCATGATAAGTTTACTGGAAACAACTTTCACATTAACCCATAAATAGAAAGTGCAACTCCCCATTCCAAGTCTAGCAGCTAACTGTACAAGGTTTAGTCACTATATTTGATGTACAGGGTGCAGGGTGCTGGCTTAGATTAGAAACGTGTGTTTCATGAACAAGCAGTATATCTTTGATTCCAGTTAAGATCACTATTGGTTAGTGTTTAGTGTTCATCTTAATATAATGATACGCAGCTCTCCTGCGTGTTCGAGAAAAAGTGTTTAGTGTTCATGCAGATAGCACATCAGCTTACTTAAAAAGGCACTCCCATTATTTTAGATGAGCATAGTAAATAGTTAAATACTTAAATTAGAGGGAAAAGGCTGCTTGCATGAAAAAGCAGATCAGATGAGTGTTAAAGAGATTTTTGCAGGTCAACTTGGCTGAGTGAAATAATGTAACATGCCAGTAACTGGGGATGAGCCTAAGAGGAAAATCTAGGATAGAAAATACAATGGCAACAACAAAATACCTTATGCACAAGAATTGTTCCAGCTAAACCTCTTCTACCAGCTATCCCTCTAGGTGGGGGAAGGGCACAATCATCTCCAACAATGACCATCTACAATTGGAGGATAAATGATACATAGTCATTAAAATTAATATGATCTGCCACACAACATAGTAATATGTGTGTTTTTCAACCTCCATCTTATAGCCTTTAGATTTTGCCTGCTCAGCAGCTAATCCAAAATTCAGTCTATCACCAGTGTAGTTCTGCAAATGTTTGGCAATTGAAGGTAAGAAGAAATGAAGCTTAGTAAGATGAGAGCAGTGCAATGCTTCACAGTTTACACTTATAAAATTGAACAAAATGGAGCACTGCAATTTAAAAATAATGGAGAAAAGTACCAGTATCCCTACATCAAGCATACACATTTATCCAAAACAGCCCACAGTTTGGCCCCTTTCAAAGCAAATACAGATGTACCATAGATTTCTTATTGAACTAAAAATTGATATGTCCCAAGCAAATTTTAGAAAAGCAAATGTTATCCCTCCTCTCTATCCATTCATGCATGAACACAGGACAATAGGTGGAGGAAATGGTAGTTATTGATGTGGTAATAAATAAACAATGCACGGTCCCAAAGCATCAGATACTCATATTGCACAATCCTCAAGTGTACTAAAAGATCCCTCTTATCTCATGATTTGGCATTTTAAAGTTGATATCACAGTGAGAGTACCTTTACTATTAGAAGGCACCCCAGGGGACCAGTTATAGCTCGAATAGCCGAGAAGATGCAGTTAAATGTCAGCTAAGATGATTTATGCTACTTAAGAAGCTAGACATTGTTTTACTAAAAAAGAAACATACAGCTAAAATAGAATCAACAGGTGGAGAAGCGAAAACATCTCTAGAAACAGCAGCGGTCAACATCCCTGGCCCAACAAATCCAGCATGGGCAGGTTCATGGCCGCTTCCACCACCTATGAACAAAACGGTGCTAGAATAAGTAATTGAACTTGATATGAAAAAATGGAAATATCCCAGCAACCATCAGCCATGAAAGTTACCAATGAAGATATTTTTTCATGCAGAAGTTCCTATTTGACATTTCTTAAAGATGGAAAAGAAACAGTATGGCCATATGCTTATATATACTATTAGTTCAAACAAGGAAACACAACAAGCGTATGAGAGATTATATACATGGATTTCTGTATGATGATGCCATGGTATGCAAGAGGTCCATGCAATACACCGTCATCCGTTCCTCTTCCAGCAGTAATGTCTCCAAAGCAGAGTACAACGTGGTACTAAATGTAAAATGATATCTCTTTTTTCATAGTAGTATACGAAAAGAGATTGATGGCATAAGATGATAGAGGTGGGTCATTCAATCGGCATATCTTTCTTTTCTCAAATGGAGACATTGGTTGCATAGTGATATGTGTAGCTCCTTACAAATCACTTAAAAACTTATCTACTGAAAGTGGTACTGTAGAAAAAAATAAATTAATGCAGCAATATCCCTTCTCTATATGGATGAATCTCTTTTTGTCATGGTTAGTAGAAGAAATGGGACAACAAATAGTTAAGGTCAGTGCTCACATCAGCTGACAAAGCTAAATAGAAGTTCATACATATGACAACAGCTATATATATGAAAAAATATTCATTAGTGAGAGCCCACAACAGTTGGCAAGGCTAAATAAAAGTTCATACATGGTGGTAGGCTTAGAACCACATATGACAAGGCTCTCAAGTACTCTGTCTGTCCCAATCCAAAAGACAGAGAACCTAATATATTTACGGAGGTCGGGATGGTACATATTGGAAATATTTGGGATAAATATAGCATGCACCACCACTATACTATTTTGCTAAGCTATAAGAGGTATAAACATACATAGCTAATTAAATATGGAAAATATATTTCCAGAAGAATGACGAGAGTATAGGAAAAACCATTTAGACCATGGTTGTCTTCTAAAAATCAGAATAATACCATAGTTATTCATCGGTACTTACTTCCTGCATTTAAAATTTGAGGTACTTGGTGCTTGCTGTTGTAGCTTGCTCGTTTACTGTTGCCTCCCTGGTTGGTCGGTGCCTCAGCCTTAGCTGTCCTGCACTGCGCAAAGGGGAAGATGGAGGGAGGGAGGATCTGGGTGAGGAGCCATGAGACGGAGGACGAATCTAGGTGACGAGCCATGAGACAGAGAAGAAGAGGGTGAGGTACCTACAGATCTGGCCGCCAAGCCAATCCGCCAAGGAAGAGGCCACGCGTGCGTAGACGGAGGCGTCGAACACAGGCACCTAGGGTTTCAATGTTTCGTTGAGCCCAAGAGTGCACGCGGACCGGTGGGAGGAAGCCGCATCGGGGGTGGCAGTCGTGGCAATGGCCACCTGCGGGGGCTGGCTAGCGCCCGTGCGCCGCCGTCCTGCCCGCGCAGGTGGTCTTCCCTCGCGGCTCTCCTCCCCTTCTTCCAGTCCGGTCGGCCCAGAGGAGGTGGAGGGCCGGTGAATGGGTAGTGGTGGACATGGAAGGGGCGTGGTGGCGGGCTCCTCCAGATCCGCCGTTGCTGACTTCAAAAGTGGGCCCGCTTGTCGACACTGGCCGCGTCCGAGACACCGTGCGCAGGAGAGGCGACACCGGCACCGGATCTGGGGCAAGCGGTGGCCAGTGGCGTGATGAGCCGGGAGGGGCCGCTTGCCAGGACAGGCCACGCTCGGGGTGCCATGCGCTGGAGGGGCTGGGCGACGGCAGATCTAGGGCAGGCGGCGCGTCAGGCGGGCGGGGAGGGGGGACAGCAGACTTGGGCAGCGGTGGCTGGCGTGCCGGGATACCGGAGGAGCGGCGGCGGCCAGGTGGGCTGAGTGGCGGCGGGCGGCGGGCGGCGGACCTAAGCTGGGAGCGACGGGATGGGGTGGGATCGGCGGATCTGTCTCGTGCGAGGGTGGGCGACGCGTACTGCTACGATGGGGTGGGGTGCCGGCCGCGTATGGAGGATTTAGGTCTAGGTGGTTTTGCGTTTTTTATTTTTTTTCACAACCTTTTCTATTCCTAAAGACAGACGCCAAAGTTGAAAACCGGGCGCTAATGCCAAATGCAAGTGGGCGCGCGAGCTCAATGTAAGTGGGCGCGTGAGCAAGGTGGTGCCCTTTTTTTAGCGACAGACGGATTGATGCTATACCTGTTTTCAGCGACAGATAGTTTGATGTTAAAGATGATTACCTATAGCGACAGACAGTTAATCTCTAAATGGAGAATTAGCGTCAGATTGTCTGTAAGTTATCTTTAGCGTAAGATCATCCATCAATAAAAAAAAGTTTTAGCGTCAGATGTCTAACGGTGATATGGTGTTGTGGTGTAGTGTTCGTATATTTTTGTGTTCTGGCCATCATCTTTTTTTCAGTCTCTTATCGCTCACAGCCGGGAGAAATCTCGGTTCCTTCATGAGCATAAGGAGAACTGGGACCACCTCATCAACAAGGCATGGTTGCACGGGGATGTGACTGCCCAGCTCTGACAGAGGGTGGCCAAGTTGACTCCCCTTGTCAAGGAGGCGGGCAGCCTCTGACTGCAGGAGGCCAAGGTCCGTCGGGACGCGGAGGAGGCCGAGAAGGCGTTTGAGGAACTATCGGCGAGGGCATGGTAGGATGAGGAGGAGGCCACCAAAGTTCGGAAGGAGAGGGACGAGCTGCTCTAGAGCGACGCCGAGACCCGCCAGTGGATCCTCAACCTCCTGGATGCTGAGGCAGAGAAGGAGAGGGAGCTCAAGCTGGGAGCCGAGGAGAGGTTCGTGGCCCTGCAGCAGAGGGCGAACCTGGATGCCGAGGCGGTTGCCTGGCTCCACAAGGAGCGAGACGAGCTATGCCAGACCACTTAGAGGCTCCTCTCGGAGCGCGTCATGGCCCACGGGGAGCGCGACCAGGCCGTCCGAGAGCGTGACAAGGCGCAGTAGAGGAACAGCTCCCTCCAGGCCAAGCTTGGAACCACGGCAACCCGAAGGCTAGAGGCCGAGAGCGTCTCCGCCGGGCTAGCCGCGCGCCGAGGCACGGTGGAACCTTTAGGCGGAGAGCGACGAGCATGATCTCCTAAGCGCTGCCCTTGGAGTGGTCTGCGACGACCAGGAGGTGGTGCGGCCAGAGGGGACCAGCTCACTTGCGGCCCGTGCCGTAGATATCATGGTGCGGGCGAGCCAGCTCGAGAGGGAAGCTCTTCGCTTCGGGGTCACCCAAGCTTTCGCCATCGCTCGCTCTCATTACACGTATAGTATTGACTTGGAGACAATGAGCCTTGGCTTTGCGCCTGGCTACGAAGCCTCCGAGCTGGATGAGATAGAGACGGCGATGGCTCCTCTCATGAGGAACCTGGCAGACAAAGTTAAAGACATAGTTCTCCCCCAGAGGGGATAGTTAGTCAAATAGGTTGGATGAGCATTATTGTAATCTGTGGACAAGTGCCGACCCTTTTGTATCTTAAAAACAAATTCATAGTTTCGTTTAGTCTGATTAAACTTGTTTTCTTCCCTTTTTGTATGTGAAAAAGGGGCTCACATATTCCGACCCTTCCGTTCATTAAGACCGTAGGGCCCGAGGTGTAAGGGTAGAACTTTGATCACGTTGGTGAGCAAAGACACCATAGCCACCGAGGCATAGGCTTTTTGCAGTCCGACCAGGGATGATCAATTTATTCGTTTTCGCAAACCTTGCCACTAGGCTTAGCGTGAGGAAGAGGTCTGACGCGGCGACTGTTTTAGAAAAGGTGTACCTATACCTTTATCAGCCCCCGAGTGAGATCTGACCCCTTGCCATTGCTGGGGTCGGATGTCACTGAAAATCAAGGGGAGGATAGCAAAACTTAGGAGAATGCATCTCTTGTATTCGCACGTACCCCCTCCCTTGGATCTTAACTATCATTCTATGATCGTGCATTAGGTCTCCTTGCAAGTCCAACCTTCCTTGAGCCCCCACGCGTGGCGGGGATTCAATCAAGGGTCGGCTCATTTTTGTGACTGTCGCCCCGTCCACGGTTTCCGCAACTAGAGGGGTTGAGTTAACGTTACTTGCCTCGGTGGCTCGAGTGACATGCTCGGTGAGCTCGCTAATGGGCATGTTTGAACAGAATCCGGTTCTGTCGCTTGTGATGGGGTCGGCAAAGCCCTCGTGTGGCATTCCGTTGCTCCTTAACCCACCTTCCAGCAGATTCCCCCTCAACGAGGATTCTATGGGCTCGGCTAGAGGCTAGGATCGAACGAAAAAGTTGAGATGACCTTGTCCGCTTCTAAGCGGGATGGGCACAGGCCGCTGAGGCTCATCTGTGTTATCTCCCCTGGCTCTTTGTTCGACACGAGGTGGCCTCGGGCCCTCCATGAGCCAACCTTCGAACCTCGGTCTTTCGATCTAGGATTAGGCGGCTCAAGCCCCCGAGCCCCGTGGGGTTCGGTAGTGGTTGGTCGTGATTCATGCGTCACCCCGTCCTCGGTTTCCACAACTAGAGGGGTTGAGCTAACGACACTTACCTCGATGGCTTGAGTGTTGTGCTCGGTGAGCTCGCTAACGGGCATGTTCGAGTGGAATCCAGGTTCGGCATCCGCTGATAGGATCGGCAGAGCCCTCATGTGGCATTCCACTACTTCTTAACCCGCCTCCTGGTAGATGCCCGAGCCGTTCGATAGGCTCGGGTGGCCCGTTGGCCTCTCCTCGATGGAGATTCTGTGAGTTTGGCTCGAGGTTAGAATCGAACGAGAAAGGTCGAGATGTCCCTGTCCGCTTCTGAGCGGGGTCGAGCAAGGCCGCTGGGGCTGATCTCAGTGTTTCTCCCCTGGCTCTATTTGACATGAGGTGGCCTCGAGCCCTTCGTAGGCCGGCTTTTGAACCTCAGTCGGTTGCCGCTCATATTGAATGAGACGACTACCGCTTTGTGACGCGACGCGAAGCGTTGTGATGCAGCAATCGCATATGCGATGGTTGGATGTGTGAGATAAATGTATGAATGATTATATAAAGAAATAGCGGTGTCGGTAATGTTACCTCGATGGCATGAGTGACGGGTTCTGGGAGCTCTTACCGGATATGTCCATGCGGGGTCTAGGTCCGACGTTTGTGACAGAGCTGGTGCAACCTGCACGAGCCTCCCAATCTTCTGTATCTATCTCTCGGCAGCAGCCCAATTCGTTCGATCGATTTGGGTGGCCTGAAAGCCTCTCCTAGATGGAGATTCCGCAGGTAGGCCCCTCCAAACCCTTCCCGAGAAGGTGGAGGCTAAGATTTGGGGTGCGGAGATAAAGACTCTGATCGCGCTGGTGGACTAAAATGCCATAGCCGCTGGGGCGTAGGGTCCTAGCGGTCCGACCAGGCTTACTCAAAGTTCATGCCCGCACACCATGCCTCTAGTTTCCAAACGTAAGGAGGGGCCGGGCAAATATAACGTCTAGCAAATAGACACTGTTGCCAGCCCCCGAGTGATGTCCGACCCCCTGCCATTGCTGGGGTCGAAAGCCCGGTATCAAAATTAATACGTAAAGTAAGTACGTAAGGATGCCTGTCTCTCGATGGTGGCTTAGAGCCGTTCGATCAACCTGGGCACCGGTATTACCTCGATGGTAAGAGTGATGGGTTTGGAAAACTTCCACCGGATACGAGCGTGATCCAGTCTGCTCCTTACCTGTTTCTCATTAGTGGCCAAGCCATCTGATCGACTCGTGTTACCTTTTGAGACAAGTTTTTCCTGCGGAAATAGAGACTGAGGACATCCTGCGCAAGAATTTAGTTAAGCAGATAAGCCAAGCAGAGAAACTTTGTGCAAAATGGACATGGTTCTCAAACTTCATTATAGCAAACAACTTTTTAGCTCTTCTCCCCCTTTTTGTAAAAATGGTTTAGTGCATTCCGACCCTTTTCGTAGTTAAGGTCATAAAGCTCGGAGTGTGGGAGAGCCAACTCTGATCATGCTGGGCGAGGCGAAGCCAGCCCTCAGACGTCGGACATTGGGCGAGGCAGAGCCAGCCTTCAGACGTCGGACGAGGCGGAGCCAGCCCTCGGACGTCGGGCCCTCAGACATCGGGCGCGACAAAGTTTGTCCTCAGACATCGGGCGAGGCAGAGCTAGCCCTCAGATGTCGAGCAAGGTAGAGCCAGTCCCCTGACGTCAGGCGAGGTGGAGCCTGCCCTCGGTCATCGGGCGAGGCGGAGCCAACCCTTAGACGTC